TACCCCTAGTCGCAGCACCCCCACGCTCAGCACCCCGAGGCTCAACACCCCCAGGCTCAGCACCCCCAGGCTCATCACCCCCAGTAGTAGCACCCACACGCTCAGCACCCCTAGAGTCAGCACCCCCAGGCTCAGCACCCCCAGCAGCACCAGAGTCACCAGTAACCTCGACATGCTCGACTGCGTCTACCTGGGACACACCTGAAGGGGCAGGACCCTGAGGGGGGAGGGGGTCTACCGGGGGGGGGACCTGGCACAAGGAAGAGCGGTGGCGGGGGGAGGGACGGAGTGCGGAAGGGGAAGAGGCGGTAGTAGGGGTCCGACTCGTCAAACGTGACGTCCTGGGAGGACAGAACACGGCGAGAGGTGGGGTGATAGAACTGCCACCCTGGCGCGTCAGGGGGGAAGCCAAGGAAGACGCAGGGAGTTGCACGAGGGGACAGCTTGTCCGCAGACAAGTCGCGGACAAACGCCCGAGATCCCCAGACACGGAACGCAGACGCATCGCCAACCTTCCCCGTCCACAACAAAGTGGGGGAGGTCTCCGGCATGGAGACACTGGGCTGAAGGTTGATCTGATGCGCCGTTTACCTAACCGCAAACAGCCACAAAAAATGGGGGCAGGCGCATGCATCAGGGACGTACGGGCGACGTCCATGACCATGCCAATGCGGCGCTCAGCAATCCCATTTTGCTGTGGAGAGTTCGGAAGCGTGAAGGTCTAGCGGATGCCTCGTGCACGACAGTAGGCTCGCAGAAAGCCAGAGGAGAACTCTTCGCCTCTGTCAGAATGCAGACGCAGAACAGGAAAGTCCGAGCCAAAGCTTTGCCTGAGCTGGAGACGAGATGCGCAGATCCAGTTGATCAACACCTTAGTGACATCACCCTTGCTGCGCAAGGGGAAGACTGTGGTGTAACGCGAGTAGTCGTCAACCACCAGCAGGAAGTAGCACTCGTGACCCTGTCCACGGACGCGGGCCGGGCCCCACACGTCTATGTGAGCGTCTGCAGCGGGGCCTTTGTCGGAGGAAACTGGGAGGAGTGAGGGGCAGCCCGCTGCCGCCCCTCGACATAAGGGACGCAGGCAGGGGCAGGCCCCGGAGGAAGGGGTGGGAGGGACCGAGGAAGACCAGAGAGAAGGAGACGGGAGGCCATGCCTCGTAGACGAAGTAGGGAGGGGTGACCAAGGCAGTGGTGCAAGAGGAGAGTCTCGTGAGAAAGGAGGCGACACGAGCAGGGGGCAGAGTCAGGACCAGATCTGGACGCTGCAGCAAACACCTGACCCGACGCAGCTACCTGACCAGACGCAGTGATTGGAGGAGACTCAGTGGTCAGTGTGTACAGGCTCGACCCCGGCCGCCGTGTAAACGTGGCCAGGTGTCGGCCTGTCCGAGCGTCCGTGCAGTGGGTCACCCGCTGACTCGCAGGAGTGAACTGGTAAACCCCCGCATCCTGTAGGTCAGCACCACTCACCAAGTTTGTAGAGAACGAGGGGAGGTAAGGACCAGACAGGGTGCCAGAGGGGGCCGCCGGACACGGGAGGACAGTGGAGAAGTGAGCAAGGACAGGACCTCTTGAGGGGTCTGCCAGAGAGACTGCAGCTGGCCGACCAAGCGGCGTGAGTGTGGTGCGGTCTCGAAAGAAGGAGCGAGAAGCTCCCGAGTCAAGGGTGAAGGTGTGGGAGGCCGAAGCCGACGCGGTACCTGAGAGAGCAGACTCACCAGCATCTGAGGAAGCAGACGCACTGGCACCTAGAGCAACAGCTTCGCTAGCACCTAGAGCAGCAGCCTCACCAGTACCTAGAGCAGCAGTCTCAATGCCCGGGTCGGGCGGAAAACACTGGTAACAGTCACCCTCATCACTAATAGTCACAGCATACATGGCAGCAAGAATAGCATCAAAGTCAAGGTCAAAGATAGCTACTCCCGCCCTAGACATCTCGCCCGAGCGAGGGATCTCAGTGGCCTCAGAGAACAGGTGGCGCCAAGCGTCCGTCAGGCGGCCAAAGCAGCGCTGGGTGGAGTGCGCACCCCCGCACTGCTCACCCGCGCGGTCGCCGGTGCGTAGGACGTAGGTGCACGGACTAGTACCCCCACCCTGCTTACGTGCAGCGTACCACTCACGGAGCTGCTGAGGGGGGGGGATGTCACGAGTGCGCTGCTGCTGCCGTTGCTGCTGGCGCTGACTACCACCGGAGCCGACCCTCTGCGCAACGCCACCCCGACCAGCTCCACCTCCTCCGCCGCCGCCTCCTCCACCGCCGCCACCTCCGCCACCTCCGCTCCCACCGCCACCGCCGCCGCCGCCTCCGCGTCCACTGCCGCTACCAACACCTCCACCCCCGCCACCAGTCCCACCACCACCCCCACCCCCTCCACTGCCTCCACCGCCACCTCCGTCACCCCCGCCAGCCCCTCCAGCACCCTTGCCCCCCTTGCCCTTGCCGGTGCGGCATCTCCCGCTCGGGGCAGACGCAGCGTCGACCGACTCGAAACCAACGAGGTTGGCCGCAGCACTAGAGGCAACAGAGGGCAAAAGGGGGGAGGGGGAACACCCCTCAAAGACGGGGGTGCGAGGGTCACCGCGAGAGGCTCCTACAGCAACTATGCTCTTCTCTATCGCTAGGAGGGCCTTCTCGAGGAGGTCAACGGTGAGAGTGGTGGGGCAAACTGAGAGGAAGTGGTCCCTGACTACGCGAAGGGAGTCAGGGAGCCGGGTGACTATGTAGTAGAGGGTGATGTACATGGGGGGGTGGGGTTCTTGGCGCAGAAGTCAGCAGGAAGCGCAGTGCGGTAGTGAGTGTCGCTAGTGCGGAGGTGCGTAATGAGGTCAGCGACTGTGGGAAAGGCAGCAAGGTCAGGGAAGAGGTACGGTAGCATGAGGCGGCTCAGTGCAGCAGTGGGAGGGGAGGAGTAGCGTGCAACTACAGCGTCGTACAAGGTCTGAGCACTCTTGTACCGGCTAAAGTGCGCACGCTCAGAGGTAGGCACGTGGCGACGCACAGCAAGACGTGCAGCAGCATCGCGTGTGGCCCACTGTGAGCGAACAGTGGCGTCGGCATCAGCAGCAGGGGCAGGAGAGGCACCAGAGGTGAGGTCAAAGAGGGAGAGACCGTCTGCCTTATCGCACTGTAGAAAAAGCTGCAGGTCATCTACCCAGACGTCAAAGTCAATGGCCCGACCCTCAGCGTCAAAAGCCAGGACACTAGGGGTAGCCATGACAGCAGTAGACTAGCAGCGCGAATAGTAGGGTAAGGGCAGTGCAGTGACAGAGGCGCTGCTCTTACCGGACAGGGCGGCTCGGGCGGCTTGGCGGCTCGGCGGCTCGGCAATTCGGCGGCTCGGGCGGCTCGGGCGGCTCGGCGGTATGGCGGCTCGGCAGCAACTGCGGCTGGGCGACTCTGCGGCTCGGCGGTACGGCGGCTCGACAGCAACTGCAGCTCGGCGGCTTGGCGACCCGGCGGCTCGGGCGTCTCGGGTGGATCGGGCGGCTCGGCAGCAGCTCGGCGGCGCCGGCGGCTCGGTGGTGACGGCGGGGCCGCGTGGGGACGGCGGCGGGGCCGGGTGGAGCGGCGTCGGGGCTAGTAGAGGCGGCGCCGGGGCCGGGAAGGGCAGGGCCGGGGCCGCAGGGGTAGGCGACGGGGCCAGCAGAGGTGGCGCCGAGGCAGGGAAGGGCGGCGCCGAGGCCGCGGGGGTAGGCGACGGGGCCGCTAGGGCGGCTAGGAGGGGGGGGGGTCGCGAGGGCGGCTTGAAGAGGCTGCGAGGGCGGCACAAAAGGGCCGCGAGGGCGGCGTGAAAGGGCCGCGAGGGCGGTGCAACGCGACGGAGCCGCGAGGGCGGCGGATCAGGGCCGCGAGGGCGGCGGGACGCGGCCGCTAGGGCGGCGCGGCGTGAAGGGGCCGCGAGGGCGACGTGACGGGGCCGCAAGCGCGACGCGACGGGGCCGCTAAGGCGGCGCGACAGGGTCGAAAGGGCGGCGCGACGGGGCCGTGAGAGGGGAGCGAGACTCGGGCAGTGTAGAGCGCGCTCCGGGCAGGAAAAAAAAGGTGGTGGGCCCTAGGAACAGTTCCCACAGGGGAACCTGCTCGATACCAAGAGAAAATGAACGGGAATGGAATGACTAAGGAAAAGTTGGGTACAAGTACAAACCCTAGAAAGTTGTACCCCATATGTGCTACCCCACTATAGCCTACAGTAGCTATGTCATTTAAATCTGACAGTCTTCTCATAGGAAAAAGCTACATAATACACGGGTCTTATTATATTGAACATTTTTTTCTAAGCAGAAATGAAAGTAAACAAAAATAGTATTCTGTCGTCACTCCTACTTTGTTGAACGGGGGCGCAAAACCGAGTCCTCGGTGATAACATCACCCCCCACTGGAATCTGCCACATGGCAAATTCCAGTGGGCCAATTGTGGCAGCTTCGATGACGTACATTGCGCAGCTTGTGTTCATGCACAGTATAATGCTGTACATGGTCCGAGTCGCGCACGGGGCTGAGAGGTCACTGTACCTGTGACTTCTTGCCATCCATTTGGTCACGTCAAGGCCTCCTCACATGGCCCTCACCTTCCGTTCTGTCAAGCGGCTCTAGTGCACGTCTTTGACAAGAGCTCGGCTGGCTGTGAGAGCGCCTCCTTTTGGTGCTAGTTCTTTCAAGTTTAAAATCTCGTCCGCCATGGCGAGTGACTTCATCCCCCTAGTAGTTGTCTAGCATGGCGTCATCTCCAGACTCTAGCAGTACCGTTGAAAGGCGACAGCGCCATTTTACCGTTCAGAGCGGCGCTGCTGCACGCGCAAGGACGTCTCTTCGCCCTATCTTGCCCCAGCCGGATGCTTCCGGCAGTGCTTCAGCTCGGGATGAACCGAGCACTAGCTTTGACCTTCCTCGCCCCCCTCTTCCTCGTGTGGTTGTCCCCACCTTTCCTGAGCGTAACTGCCCGCAGGGACAGATCAAGCGCAATGCCGATGCTGCCCCGCGAAGCCCTCGCCACCGCATGATGAAACGCCAGCGGAACGCCATCAGCGCGAAGGAGAAACTCCACTGGTTGAAGATGCAGGACAGTCAGCCCGACCTCTCCAATCGCGCCCTGGCAAAACTCGCGAAGGTGCAGCCCTGCCAGATCCACGAATGGAAGAAGATGAGGGAGCGGCTGGAGGTCGCTTCCAGCTGCCGCCGTCGTCTCATGGGGCATGGGCGCAAGTCCAAGTACCCGTTCATGGAACGCGCTGTCTACCGCCACTTCTTGAAGCACCGGGCGAAGGGCCTTGCCGTCACAGTCAGCATGCTCCAGAAGTGGAGCGCCAAGTACATGAAGCACAAGATGCCCGGGTTGAACTGGCGCGCTTCGTTCCGGTGGGCGACTCGTTTCCGCGCGCGCTGACATTTGGCGAGGCGGGTGAAGATGAAGATGGGACAGAAGCTGGCTGCGGGTAAGTGATGTTGTTGTTCTCTATTGTTTCTCGTGGCAATTGCTCTCTAATGTTTCTCTAATGTTTCTCTCATGTTTCTCGTTGCTCTGCCCGTAGATTGCAAGGCCAAGGTGGAGTCGTTCTGGGAGTTCGTGCGCCAGATGTGCTCTCTCCATGACTACCTGCTCGATCTCATCGTGAACGCGGACCAGACGCTGCTGTTCCTAGAGATGCCGGCGGAGCGCACGCTCGAGATGAAGGGAGCGCGCACGGTCCACGTACGGAGTGCGGGCTATGAGAAGGAGCGTGTTACTGTCATGCTGGCAGTAACAGCGAGCGGGCTCAAGCTTCCGCCGTTCGTGGTTTTCAAGCGCAAGACCATCCCAAAGGTGGCCATCCCTGCCGGTAAGCAACACATGATTATGATTTGTCCGTGCACTGGCCTGTCTAGCAAAGCAACCGAAACTGACGCGCTTGTGTTGTTTGGCAGGTGTGGTGGTCCGTGCACAGGAGAAAGGGTGGATGGACGAAGCCCTGGTGCAGGATTGGATCACGCAGGTGATGGTGCCGTTTCTGAAGCCCCTGCGTGAGACAACCGGCCGCCGCCGGGAGGGCTTGGTTGTGCTCGACTCCTACCGCGGCCATTTGACCGAGGCGGTCGGGCAGACCATGCGGATGTTTCGGCTGTCTCGTGCTGTTATCCCAGGGGGCTGCACACCGCTGGTGCAGCCTCTGGATGTGTCGGTGAACCGCGCGTTCAAGTGTGGGGTGCGTCACCGCTACAGTCTCTGGTTTGAAGAAGAGGGCATCAACCTCACCACCAAGGCCGGTGAGTTGCAGCACTATGTCCCGCTTGCAATCCGTTCAATTGGTGTCAGCGTGCGCTCTGTATGCTCACCTTTGTCCATGACTTGCCTTCCCTGTCCCCCAGGCAATCTCAAGAAGCCGCCAGCGGAGCTGGTGCTCCGCTGGATCGATGAACCCTGGGAAGCAATCCCAGAGGAGCTCGTGAAGAAGGCGTTCGTGACGTGCGAGATCTCCACCCCCATCGATGGCAGCGAGGATCACCTCATTCTTGCCCACATGCGAGACAGGAGTGAGGTGGAGGTCCTTGACGATGTCAACGACCTGGTTGACGACGAAACGGTCGTCAACCCCTTCTACGCCGAAGTCCCCATGCCGGCCGAGGAGCTGCGGGCGGCGGCACATGAGGAGGACGCCGCCGAGGAGGACGCGGAGGCGGCGGCGGCAGAGGAGGAAGGGGTCGTGCTTGAAGAAGGCGGGGAGGCAGAAGAGCCAAGCGATGACGAGTGGTGGCGCCCTGGCCGCTATGACGGGGAAGAATGTGACGAGTGGCATGCTGGGGACGATTCAGAGTGAAAAGCACTAAGTAGAACTCTCAGTAGTTGAACTTGTTGCTGATGTCTAGTATGTGGTGACCATGTGGCTATGGAGATGCAGTCTAGGTGACATTGATAATGTCTAGGTGCTGGCGCATGACTTCTGTAGTTGCTGTAATTTCACCTGTTGAACTGTAAACGAAGTTATCGTTTTTCCCGACTATAGCACCCCCCCCCGGGTCTTATAGAGAATCAGCCAAAAAGGGGGGTATAGTGAAAATGAGGTCGCCCATAGCACCCACCCCGCACAAGCTACCCGGGGGTGCTCTAACATGGGGGGGTGTTTTGTCCGGAAGAATACGGTACCAGCGCAAGGTGGTTCAAGAACTTCATTCAAATGCTTCCGCTATTACAATCCTACCCAGAGTTCATCCCTGTAAAGATCCTAAGGGCCCTTTTCAGCCCAACATGGTATGAGAGCAGTCAGGGAGAATTCGACCTCTATTAAAATACCGACAGCATCAACAAGCATGGCTACACAAAAGGAAAGGAGCTCTTCCGACGGCTCCCAGGGCACTACTCCTACTCCACCTCCTGCCTCTGGCCTACAGACAGAGGAGGGTATGGCAAAAAGACCCAGGGCAACATCCATTGAGATTCCTGCAAATCAACCTGCAGACTTCGACCAAAGCATGATGGAGAAATTTTTCTACTTCATGTCCTTCTACGAGCAACACCAGCAATCGGTACCTGCGCAGTCACACAATAGCAACAACAACGGAGCAACTCCCATGAGTCTCGACGGCTCATCATACGCACGAGGAAATCAACAGCAGCAGCTTATCTTTGCTCCGTATGAGCGCGGGTCCATCAGCTTCATGCCACACTCGCAGCCCTCACCTGGACAAGAAAAGTCACTGGACGCACTACAAGTTCAGTCGCAGTTCGCGCACGTCCTGAAGATGCAGACGTCAAGGCCTTTCGATGGAAAAGATTTCTTCACCTAGTCGTTTGAATTTGAATTTATGATGGAAGGCGCGCAGATACTCGGCTTCTTCGACGGGTCCCTGCCATACCCAACGAACGGCACACAGTATGATAAGCAGCAGTACACCTATCACTCGATGATGGCATACACGATTCTACTGAGGAACATCACCCCAACTCAACAGCAGAACATACGGTCTTACCGGGGTTACGGGAATTCCGCGGACCTCGCGTACAACCACTTGAAGAGCCTGTATCAAGCAATAGACATCGTAAGTCAAAGTCGGTTAATGGCGCAACTGACAACGGTCGAAATGAAACCAAGCGAGAAAGGAATGGCGTATATTAGTCGATGTCGCGAGTTGCGCGACAAGCTCCTGCGATGCGGGGGGTCAATTTCCGAAGACGCCTTCGTGACAGTCATCATCGGCGGCCTCGGTCCTCAATGACGCGCCACAAAGACCATTCTCCGAGCCCACGGAAGAATCTCCGAAGCAGCACTCTGCGCCGAAATCCATGCCGAGCAACAAGACATGGACCTACAAGAAGAACGACACAAGAAGAAGATATCAGCACCGGAATTTGCGTTCCACACTCAGCGACGCTACAACAATTACAAACAACAACAACCGAAGCTCGTACCTCTATTCTGCCACATCTGCAAGACGTCAGGACACCCGCGCACGCACTGCCCGAATCGACAACAGTCAACTCAACCGCAACGGCAGCTTCGACCTTCAAGTAGCCAAGTCACTTCAACACAAGCGAATCCGACAACTTCAGTACAAGTCTCAACAACACCGACGGGACAACCTACGAAAGAAACAAGAAACATCGTCAGTTGCATGGCGAAGCTAACTGACTCCTGCGTTACCGAGTCACCACCACACTACTCACCAGAAGAGCACCTCGACAACAGCACGCCTCGCCGCGAGTCACTTCAACCGAATCCGATGTACGCCGCCACCGCTCAAAGCGAGCCGTCCGGAAAGGATACATGGTTCTTGGACAGTTGCTGCGGACAACACATGTGCTCTTTAGGACACTTCGTTCAACGCGAGCACCAGCTTCAACGGGAAGTCGTCATCACTGTCGCCAATAATCAGAACCTCCGCACACGATGACAAGGTGTGGTGCAACTTCAGTCACGAGAGACAAACATCATCCTGCAAATGTCGAAGGTTCTAATAGCAGAAGGACTAGGCTACAACTTACTGAGCGTCAGTCAACTGATGGCGAAGGGGATACATCTCGAAGCCACCAGCACCACTCAGGAGTTTAAGCTGTACCACGGGAAGGGCAGCCTCTACATCGGAAAGGCAATCCTGAAAAACAATGTCTTCGTTCTTGATTTTGTCCCAGACTTGGGCACCGCGAACAGTGACGGGATCGTCACCTTCACATCTTGGATGAACCCGCCGGATCTAGACCCCGATTTCAGTCCGGAAGGCTTCTGGTATTCACATACCATCCCTGAAGCAGAACGAACACGTACGTTAGTAACAATTCAACACTCGGCAGCAGCAGAGACAACATCGGCAGCAGCAGAGACAACATCGGCAGCAGCAGAGACAACATCGGCAGCAGCAAGAACAACAATGGCAGAAGCAGTAACAACGACAACGATCGCTGGTCCTTCAAGGACACCAGTCCTCGTTGATGAAACACCACCGCCACCCGCGCAGCAACTGAATCCGGCTCAACGAGAAGCCCACAGAAGCGCAAACCTCACCGCCGGCTTCTACTCCAACTCCGACGCGTACCGACGCTCACCCGGACACCGAGCCTCCGAAGACATCTGGCATGCACGCATGGGACACCCAAGCAACACAGTGTTAAATGACACAATAAGAGCAGGAGTCCTCGACAAGGACTCGCTACTACTACTCGACGGCAAAGAACTTCAACGGGCACGAGGAACATGCCTTACCTGCCCAGAGGCCGACTTACCACATCGGCCGTTCACTTCTCATCACAACCCGCGCGCACCCGCCTACGCACCACTCGAGAGAGTGTACAGCGACATCCTGTAGAATCGGGAACCAGGACAAGGAGCATACAATTACACGATCACCTTCATCGACGCCGCCACCCGCTACGTCTGGCACCTAAACCTCCCCAGCGGCGACATCGCCTTTGAAGCCTTCGTTGCTTGGCTACCAGTAGCATAGAGAGAATCGGGCGTGAAGCTGAAAAGCTTCTAGTCAGACGGAGGAGGAGAGTACACCTCTCAGCGATTCAAGCAGTACCTGGCGGAAAGGGGAATCAAGCGGCTCATCTCCCTTCCTTACGCCCATCAGCAGCAAGGTGTAGCAGAAAGAATGAACAGGACCGTGCAGAATAGCATGCGCAAGCTGTTACGTGGCATGCGATTACCCAACCACCAGTGGCCTGACGCAATGGACCACGGTGTCATGCTGCACAACTTGCTCTCGTCATCATCGCTTCCGAAGAACGCATCACCGCATCTGCTGTGGACAGGAAAATAGGACAGCACAAAAATGTTACGAGTGTTCGGATGCATGGTATAGTACCGACCCCCGGCAGCACGAGCAGGAAGATTTTCTCAATGCGCACAGTGGGGACTACACCTGGGAATCGAAAAGAACTACAACGCGTGGAAAATCTTCGACATCCACTCCAAGGAAACACTAGCAGCACATGACGTGATTTTCTACGAACGTCTCACGCTTCAGGCATACCTTGCCAACCTACAAGAAGACCAAGATCCCACAGGTGACTTTCGTGGTGACCGTGCCTTCGCCTTGGCAGCAGACGAAGCTGACTGGGACGAACAAAATGTTGACAATGCATCAGAAGAAGCCGGACCTCTTCCGTTTTGCTCCGTCGAAGTTCCCATGGACGAAGATAACCCTCGCAAAAGTGTCAACGCCAAAACCTTCTACTACTTCGCCGACAACGGTTACGTAACACGTGCGACAGTCAACACCAACGAAGCACAACGAGTAGGACCAAATTTCATACCTGATCCAGAAGCGGGAAATGAAGCAGCTTATCCCGAGGACGCAAATCTTCCCCGCTACTCACAGAGTGGACTGCAAATTCTCGGCCTCGTCACCGCAGTCCACGGCACGACTCTTCCTAAGGAGCCTGCGACAGTTCAGTAGGCTCTGGGGGGGGAACATAGGGAAAAATGGCGCGAAGCCATGGACTGAGAGTTAAAGGCGCTGGAAGAACGGAACACCTGGAAAGTCGTCCCCATCAGCGTGGCAAGAAACAAGACCATTCTTACCGGGAAATGGGTCTTCCGCATTAAAACGAAAGCCAACGACACAATTGAAAAGTTCAAAGCACGCTGGGTTGTGCGTGGATTCGATCAGGAGCACGGACGGGACTTCACCGAGACATTCGCCCCGGTCAGCCGACACACCTCACTCAGAATCCTCCTCGCGATCGCCGCCATGAAAAAGAAGAAGTTGCGACAGATCGATGTCGCCAACGCGTTCCTCTACACACCTGTCGACGCGGAGATTTTCGTCGAGCTCCCTCACGGCTCCAGCGGAGAGCCTAATCAGGTCTGTCAGCTACTTAAGTCACTCTACGGTATCAAACAAGCCCAGAGGCTATGGCAACAGTACCTGCACGCTCGCCTCACTCGCATCGGCTTCAAGCCACTACCACACGATCAGGGGATGTACAGACTCACGAAAGGCACATATTACATCCTGCTAATCGTCTACGTAGACGATCTCCTCTACATCGGCTCAACCGACAACGTCACCACCTGGTTCGAAGGGGAGCTGCAGCAGGATCTCACACTAACAGTCTCTTCTACTGTCAATCAGTACCTCGGGCTCAACATCCGGGAAGAGGAAGACGCTATCTACCTCAACGCCGCCAAGTACGCCGACACCATCGCCAAGCGTTTCGCGCTCACACCTACCACCATCTCTACGCCCTACCGCTACACAACAGGAAACCACAAGGAAGGTTCCACTCCACTCAAGCCCGCCGGGATACGCAACTATCAGAGAAAGCAAGGATGCCTTCTCTTCGCAGCTGTCACCTGCCGCCCGGACCTATCATACTCCG